ATAGTTAATTGTACTGAATTGATCAGCACTATTTAGTATATCAGACCCTCGATTTAATAGCACAATGGGTGAAGTGTCACTCATGTTTTATAGGCTTCTTCACTGTCAAAAACTGTTCTCCAACTGACCCAAAGTTTTAGAAAAATGTTGTCGTTGGACTTAGCATTTAGCCAATTAAGGCCGCATTTCTGAATTAAATGGCACTAGCAGCAATCATAAAGTTAAATTCATGATCAGGTTTCCATGAAAGTGTAATGCCAGCCTTATCCACACCCTTTCAAATGAAGTGTTACCATGGATATAATTCTAGCTGTATGTGGGCTGGATTTCTGCAGACAGAGGTTAATTAAATTTTCTCCTGTCTACCTTCGCCTTTAATTTAAAAAAAAAAATTGCATCTGCTTTGTAGAGATGAAAAATTCTTACTTAAAACCACCCCGCCATATCTCCTCCCACTTTCTGCACGTGTGCATGTGAGGTCTGAGAGGCGTACTTCACTACTGACACACACAGGGCTTCTCTGTCAGTTGACAGGAAGCTGCACTTCCAGGCCAAAGCGCCTGTTTGATAAATAACACGCGTGTCTCCGGGCGCACAATGTATCTCAAAGACTCTAAATGTGGCCCTCAGTCTTTGTCTCTCTGACACACATATTGCACAAAGCCACACACACACTCATGCTTCTGCACTCTTTCATGCATACTGTGCACAAAAGCACTAGGTCTCTCTTTCTTACCCTTTCTTTCTCTCTCTTTGCTGATTAGAAAACAATATCCAGCTTATAACTGCAAGTTAGGCAGACACCCACACTCATTTGCAGTGAAAGGCAAATGACCCTGATGATGAGTCATTGCATTCACTCAGATTTTTTTTTATTCAACACACTGAAGTGAAATCTCTTAAGGCAGAGTTAAACACTGGTCCTTGCCATTATTTTTCCGAGTGAACTCAGCTGTACTTTTGTGTTTTTCTCAAATATATTTACATGAGTAAAGGTCAACTAGAAATAGTACATAAAATCTTTAAATTTCAGTCCACTTTTTCCACCCATACACACACACACACACGCACACACACATCTTATCTTTGTAAAATCATTAATCAGTGTTCCTCTAAAATGATTTTCCTGTCTTTGTACTGAAAGGAATCAGGAATTAGTTCGTTTCATGCATGTACAATAAAAAGAAAACTGCAAAGGCTTTGCTAGGAACTCTCGATAATTAAAGCAAATGTACTATTAGATTCAATTAAAGATTTAAAAATCAATTTTTTTTTAGTAAATACAGTTTTGTGCAAAGATCTCAAGTCACTCCTCATTTCTTTATGTTTTCCTAGGAAAATTGGAAATAGTTGGAGTGAAAATGTACAAATGTACATGACAATACTGTATAATACGTGTAATTCTAACAAGCTTTAAAGTCAATATTTGGTATGACCACCTTTATTCTTCAACCCAACCTGAATTCTCTCTCTCAAACATTCAAATCTTTTCTTTGGATGTTGGCTGCATTTTGTTCTGTATATCAAGATGATCCCACACAGTTTCAATAATGTTGTAATCTCTGCACTGAGGAGGCCAATCCACGACTGGTAGTGCTCCATTGTGTGCTCTTCAAATCTATCTATCTAGCTTCTACTGCATTGGCAGTCTGTTTGGGATCACTGTCATGCTGAAAAATTCCAGATCTTGTGTGGCCTTTTCTCCCGGTTTCCCTTCCTCAAGAATGGCTTCTTGACAGCCACCCTTCCACTGAGACCATTTCTGATGAGGCTTCAGTAAACAGCATCAGGATCAACTGAAGGGCCTGATGAATCTCTCATGCCATAGATAGATTTTTTTCAGATACTGTTCATCAGCTGTAGATAGTAGTTTTTAGGCTTGCCACCTCTCCTTTAGACCTCCATTTGTCCAGTTTTCTAATGACAAATGGCTCTTTGGGAATCATCTTGTTGGGCAAAAATACTATATTGTGACTGTCAAACTGTGCTATCTTTTGCATTTTTTATGGATTCAGCTGAAGAAAATGGAATAAAATATGTGTTTTGTGATAGACTGAATGTAACAAAGTGCCTAAAGATATCATTTAAAATTGGTTCTTTGCTAAGTCTCTTATGTGTATACACAATGCTGGTTCATCCCTTGAGTTAGGTGTCTTTTTATGGTTGAATGATTTATAGGTCAGTGTTAACAAAGCAACAAACAAAAAACACACAAAATAAATTCTTCTGAAAATGGCCAGGTACAAGAACTGGACTGAAAATGAGTGAAAAAGTAACCAGTCCAAAGAAGACCTTGAGAAAGCCTGAAGAACTAGTGCAAAAACATTCGAAAAATGAATTAGTATAAAGAAATAAGGGGTGACTCAAAACTTTTGCACAGTACTGTAAATCTTTGTTGTTAGATCTTAAAATAAAGCAACGTTTTTTAGGTTCAATCAAGATATATCAGTAACATTTCTACCAAAAAGTGATTTTTCCCTTTACTCTTTTTGTTTGTTTGTTTGTTTGTTTGTGTTCTTTTTAAACTATCTTCAAGGCAGGAAGAGCCAACACTCATTTGATCAGTATTTTGAAATACAAAAGTTACATACAAAGGTTTTATAAACATAACTTTAGGTTAACAGTGCAGCTTCTTCTGTCCAGTTAATTATCTGGATTACCTGGATGATACAGGGTGGTGTAAGACGTGGGTTTTAATTGAAGCACTGTAAGGAAAAAATAACATTTAGTTCATGAAAGACTGATGAAAGCAAGAAAGCAAGTTATAAATGATACACACGCACTCATCTCACTTCCTTCTTCTTATTTGTTAATAGCATGGAAATATTTTGTGAGCGATAAGAATTTATTCTGCAGGACTTTAATATCTGGCAGATGTTAGAAGAAATCAAACAAAGATTTGACGTGGCCATGCAGTCTGACCATAGTTTGTAAAAAAAAAAAAAAAAAAAAGCCAGAATGAACCTGAGACTCATTTTTGGACATGAGGCCTGAGGGCTGCAAGTGTTATCTGGCTGCATCAAGTTTACTTTGTTTAAGGAAAGAAAGAATAGTGGAGTGTATGGGGGAGGGAGTGTAACGAGAGTAAAAGGGACTGAAAGGATTTTGATCCAGTGATATTATATATCTGTCCTGGTCAAGGGCACACAAAAGCACACAGCAAACCACCAGAGAGCAAAGCATGTCATCTGAATAGTATGTCTTCTTTGCGGTGTTGTACATCCAAAGGCTTTGTGCGCCTGAATTTGGTTGGTAGAAGACACAAAGGAGGCAGTTTGTTCGCCCCTGACAAGTGTGCTTTTATTTGTGTCGGCCCTTTGATGTATAGAGAAACTTTGGCTGGGATATCCCTCTCAGACAAATGCACAAGAAATCCCACTCCTTTGTATTATCCTTAACAATTCCCTCACCAGTCACTGCAAGGCTTTTATTCCCTTTAAGACCATTATTTTAAACTTTGTGCCTACTGTCTGTCTGTCAACTGTAATGGGGTATCTTGTCTGGCTTTGGGGGATGGATGGTGGGGAGTGGGACTTTGGGCATATATGCTTAGTTGCTATGCTGTCAGGTCAGGGCGTCAGTTTAGCTTAGTAAAACAAACTGGAGCAGGTTGGTGCTATTTTGTCCGCTTTGTCACCATTTTAAACTTTACAAATATAATATGATGTTGTGCTTATTGCAGACATCGCACGTTAAAAACAAATAAAATCTCTAGATATTCAGTATTCTTCATAAACATAGACAGCCATTTACTCAGTATAAGCCTATTCTGGCAAGTCATCCAAGTACTAAGAAAGCAAACAACAGGCAAGATCTTTAATTGCATGACAAGTAGACAGATCCACTGATGAAAAGATATCACGGAAAGCTCCAGATCAGGTAGTGTATGGGCTTTGTGGAGCAAAAGGTGTTGTGCTCAAGGGTGAGCTATAAATCTCAAATGTTCTGAGGCTCTACCTTTAGAATAACAACCTGTTTAAGTAGCTGCTGCACATGTTGCTTGATGCTTAATCAGCGAGCCATTGGCCTTAATTTGAGCTTGATTCAAATCTGAAAATGAGTCCAGACAAGGTGAAGAGAAAGCTCACGCGCTCACATCTGCAGCCGCAGCTTTTACACTGTTGTTACCAAACAGCTGGGACTTAAGTAACTCCACGCAGCCGCCCTTTGACGAGTCACTTTTGAAGCAGAGTTCAGCGTTGCTTTCCTACACAGCTTTTGTCAGTCAGTCCGGGGATTTGAACTGCCAGCCGTCCAAGTCACGAGCATCCACCTCCTCTGCAGGCTGCTGCTGTCTTTTATAGCAGACGACCAGTAAAAGAGCTAAAAACTCTTGACCCTTCCATTCCTGGGGGCGCCCACAAGTGCTTAAGCAGATAAAGATTATATTCATCGCATAGACATTTTAGTACGGGGGTCAGAAAAGGGCTTTTACATAAAAACAGATTGTTTTACAGAACGAATAATGCCGATGTGAGTTTAGACTGGTGGTATTGCTTATGTTGGCTTACGCTCAACTGTACTGTAAGGAACTGGTGGCTATACTGGAAACCTAAACAATGAAAAAAAAAGGTTTTCTTTTCTTGCAAGTAGAAGAGGATGCCTGTGAACTCAAAGTCGGACTCAGAAATCCATTACAAGGTCAACAGCCTGTGCTGCTTCAGTCCACCTCACCGGTGTCCGGTTGAATCACACAAAGTGAATATCTGAGAAGACAATCTACCTCCTACTTCCTGAGTATGTGTGCAATATTACTGTGGAATGACTTCTGTACATCTGTAACCTATAAAAATAACCACACACTTGATATTTTTATTTTATTCTTTTTTTTTTTGTCACTACCATCGTTTCCTTCCTTTTTTTTTACATTCCAGCATGTCTGACTACATATCGGCCATCAGGGTTAAATATTAATGACCGAACCTGCCAAATCCGCCTGAACATTCACAATACTTTTAATGCAGCTGCACTTATTTTACTGTGTCTCCTTTTTCTCATAGAGTTCAGAAGAGGAACCGAAGAAGCCAAGGCAGTCATGAAATGTGAACATCTGTGTCGACAAGTGTTACATGTATGCGCTGCATTGAAGGTCAGTGGCTCATACTTCCACTGTGCAATATCTGGCTGATCATAAAGGGGCTACCATTTGCAGGGTTGCCTTGCATGCAAAATTTCAGGTCACGACCACTGGGAGCCAATAATGCCTTTGGCTAAGCAACAAGATGCAAATATATCTATTCAAATTCGCACCACTCCATACACATTCAGGGCTTACACAAACACAGACGCACACACACACAATCTCATCTCAGTGCAACAAGCCCTCGTTTGATCCATGAATAAGTCACAGTCCTGGGGCAATATTTGATCTGAGACGACTTCAGATCCATATTTCTGTGTTCACTTTTCTTGTTGACCAAGAAAGGAGACTGAGCTTACACCTTCTAGATTATTTTAGTCATTTTCATTGTGCTCGCTGTAGTTCAGCAGCCTCTTAGTCCAGTGGCAGGCCCGGATTACACGTCTCACCCAGGGCAGGAATAAAGATAACAGCAGACAGGCAGCACCCTCCACTCCAGGCTGTTGAGCAGACGGAAGTTAGTCAGAGTTAAGACATCAGTGTACTTCTATGTCACACTCGGTGCTCCAGATTCCCCCTCCGCCTCCGCCTCCCCGAAGCCCTAAAGGCAGAGTTTACACAGTCACCTGGTGTTTAACTGGTCACAAGAAGATGGATGACAGTGTAGGCAGCAAAGCTAGATAGAAACCCCCTCAATGTCACAGCAGCTCATTCGGTTCAATTTCGGCCCCTGCTTAGCCACTGGGGCAACCCAGATATCATTCATTCTAACACTGTCCATCACACTATACATAGACCAGCGAAATTAGCACAAACGCAATGCTCGCTATCAGTGTGAAGTATGGTGGCAGTAGGGGCGATTATTTACGGGCTGCATTACTTTCTGAAGACCTGAGCTCTGAGTCATCGACCGAGCCTGATAATTAATTCCACGCGCTACAGAAATATTATGAAGCTGCACTACAGAATGACAGATGTACAGCATGAAGCACATTGTCAACAGGGTGACTGTATTAAGCTATTTTGACTGCTTCGTTATGAGATTGTGCGTTCCTGTAAAACAAATCCGTAGTTTTCATTTTTAATACTTGGCACTTTATTTTCCACAAGTTGTATTTTGTTTTCGGTAAACAGAGGAGACAGGAGATCTGGCGGTTTGATGTACTCATGTGTAATCAGACTATTTGTTGTTTTCTGTCTGCTCTTTGTTTGTCCCAGAGCTCAACTTCCTGTAGATACAAGAGGTAGAGATACACTGGGATCTGACAGTAAGAGATAACCTGCCATCAGCGAGCCGTCTATTTTTAACAGCAGGTACTAGTAACGCATGACGTGGGGCTCTTGTTATCAATATTTATGGGACAAAGATTAAGACAGAGTAATGATACACACAGCCCTGACTGGATCCATCCTCGCTTAATAGTTGTCATTACGGCGAGGGGGAGGAGGAAAGTGCTTATAGACTCAAAATTTTTAGGCTGGCACTCTGCATTTTAGTAATGATTCCAGAGACCACAATGGGCCCCAAATGTGATTAGCAGATGTCAACAGGGGTGTATGATGACTGCAGTGTTAAAATGGCTTTAACAATACTTCCCCCCCCCCCCCCCCCCTTTCTTTCTTTTTGGTGATTAATTTTTCTACAGTTGTCATTTGAGGAGGTGGAGCTGAGAGTCATTTTCAGGCATTCACAGGCAGATTGTTGGAAGCTCCTTGGGAAAAAGGTTGGACAAAATCTTACACACAGTTACATCTTAAAGGCTGCGTGCAGCTCGGGAGGTTAAAAGACAGGTTTACAAAAATACAGAGCAACAACGACAACAACAAGTGGTAATGAGCCAATCACAAAAGAGATACCGCGACTGCTTCTGCTATAATTGTGACATCCTACATCTTCTTTGCTGCATTGCCTGTATCCGATTAACACCAACACCTGTACCTCCTAACAGACATCGAAAAGGCCGGAACAGTGCACATTCTTCCCCCGTGTTTATCCCGAGGTGCAGCCCGTTGGCCACACATTTTAATAACACTCCCTGTGCCAAAATATATTTCACTCAAACTCTTATAAGTTCCAAGAGTAAGCTCAAAAGAGGTGAAGTATCTTGGCAGACCATAGAGCAAAATGCCATGCAGTCATATGCAGCCCAGGGGATGAAGTGATTGATCTATGACCTCGGACTCGGATAAGATATTGTGCTGAAGAGTGCGGGGGAGGACACGGATAGTGGAAAAGGGACGAGCATGAGTCAGTAACAGAGTCTGCGAAAAGCTGTGGGAGCAGAGGAAGTGTTAACAACATCACAAGTAGGAGCAAGTCAAGTTACCACGTCAGGAAGCAAAAAGGCCTGAGAGTAGGATGATGGTAGGAGCCTGCGAGGTGATGGGGACACATACATCCTAATCATTTAATCATGTAAGGTGAAAAAGAAAAGAGGGGGAATTGTTCATGCTGTCTTCACCCGGGCTGATATGTGTTACCTCTCTCTTCATGTCACTGCCTTTTATTAGTCGCCTGTAATGAGTAGCCCCCTGTGTGAAAAGCCTGCGAGGACTGAGTTCAAGGATAATAAGCTATGTGTGGCTCTTAAGTCCAGCACTGCTTGCCTGTTTGGTACACGGAGAACCACATCTTTCTTGCCCAGTAATAATTATGATTAAACACAAATATATGTTTTTTATTTTTATCTAATTATGCCATCTTGTGTCTTTGAGGCAGAAATGTATTGACACAAACCACAAAAAAACTTCTCTTTTTTGTTTTGTTTTGTTTGTTTGTTTTTGGCCACTGCCTCTACAAGCAGGCTGACACAGTAGCTACATGCGTAGTCAGACCAGATTAGAATCAGCTGCGCTCGCCAAGAAAAGACTTTTTGAATGTGTCAGAAGTTTTGGTACAATATTGACAAGTGCCACTGACAACAGAGAAATGTGACTTCAGGTTCAATATTAAAATCAGTGCGTATTTTGGCACATGTACTCCCCTACGTGAAGGCGAACAGCAGTATCAGAGCAGCAGGTGTGGGTGGGATGGCATCCAGGTACCTGAAACACTTTGATGAGCAGCTTTTTTTTTGGTGGGGGGGGGGATTTAATGCTTTTGTTGTTTGTTTCCAGAGAAAAGTCCAAAGATTTGTTAGATTGGTGCTATTGTCTCTTTTTTTCTTTTTTCTTTTTTGAAGAAGCACGCCTACAGGTTCCAATAGCGCGCCACCCATGCAGCGTTATTTCCATAAGCTATGACCAAAAAAAAAGGCGAAAAAAAAGATCATAGCACAGAATGACACTTTTCTTACACACGCACTCAAAAAGTTTGGGATGCTGGCAAAGAGTCAGGCATCACCTATTACTCATGTTACTTAGTACATTTGGGGCTTCACTTGCAAGTACGGCGCTTCGTCACTGCATAACAATCAGATGGCTGAGTGTTGGCAGTGTAACTGATGGAATTTTACTGAAAACAGATTTCGCCTTTGAACTTCCAGATATTCCTGATCGAAAAGTATCATCCGTGACTTCACGCACTGTGGTCGCTTCTCTCGGTGTAATAACGCTTCCGGAGGACGTGGATTAACTTTTTTCACATTTATTTCTGTCCTGAAGGGGGGAAACGCAGCACTTCAGCAGAGTTTGACAGTGTAAGTATATATGTGTATATATATGTAAATATATATATGAGAGAGACGGAGTGTGGTCCAGCAGAAAAGGGGGAAGAAAGAAGGAAAGGGAGGAAGAAAAGGGCGGCGGGGGGTTTCGTTTTGAGCAGCAACAAGTTCCTCTAGAACTTGACAAGCAGACACCGGGGCGCTGTAAATGTCTATTTGTTTTGTGAGGGGGGAAAAAGAAAGAAAGACAAAAAGCCCGCTGCGCATCGCCCGTAAGAACAATCTAAATGACCAGTTGTGCGTATGCGTAATAGGCCCATGGCCCTTCGCCAAAGAGGGAGTTAACAGTCTATTACACAAACACGTGAATCGAGAAATGTCTCAGAAGTTTTTATGTCTCTTTCGTTGTTCCTCGATGCGGATTTAAAGATTTGAGGCGGTGAACGAGGCGATCAGTCAGGAGCGAGTGCCCCCCATAAACTTGTATTGCCGTCGCTTATTTCAATCACGTAAGACCCCCTAATGGCGTTGTCCTGGCGAGGGTGTTACGTATATCTGTACAAGCTTTTCTGACAAGCCAGCCTTGTTGATATTTGTCTTTACTGTAGAGCCACCAAGGTGTTGCCTAACAGAGTTTAAGCACGCCGATATTGCAAAGGGTTATTAGATTCATAAGTCAGCGAAGTGGTGGGCGATCTACTGAGCACAGCAGAAGTTCTCATATGATGACTTCAAACAAGACACATTACCTACCAGCATCTGTTGGAGTGAGTGGATATTAAGACACTTCTATCTCCAGGACAGCGTAGGGGAAAATGGTAAGTAGCAATGGAAACACACAGCATATAAGGGATGATTACCAGCAAATAGTCGTGCTTGCTGTTTAGTCTGGCAACGCATTGCTGGAAGGGTTGGACTCTACTTGAGAAACTCAGTATCGAGACCCATGTCTGATGAGGCTGATGTTGACAAAGCCTGTGTGAGAAAGGATTGTGTGGCATTTCTCTGCTCAGGATATGCCGGTACAGTGAGAGGGGTAAGGAAATATTACATTGTGTCTGCGCGCTGTGTGTGGATGTGATGTGGGCTGTACAGGCTGCCTTGGAGGGCTGAGTGCTGGCAGAGAAGGGTTTATATTTTATGCATGCATTTATGTTGCCTTTTGCGAGCGGTGGCCATGCTTGTTTAAATAACATAAGCAACATGTGCCACTTGGCTGTCACACTTGTCATAAGCATGACATTAAGAACAATGGGGCACAGTATCAGCGCTGCCGGTTACAATTTGGCGTAAGAGTGTAGCCTTTCTGTGGCAAGCGAACTGAGCCGGCGTTTGTGGTGTATAGGTGCTGTTTATCTGGGAGGAAATGTCCGACCAAAATGTGATCAAATATTAAGAGGACTGGTTTGGCAAGGGGTGGGAAAATACACGTGACAAGACGCGAGGAAGCAAGCTGAGTAGGGGGGTGAAAAAGAGCTGTTTAAAGTGGGCACTCAAAAAAAAAGTATATAGCTATTTTCTTTGCCCCTCATAGTTACCCTGGCTGTGTTATGCTTTCAGCACGTTGGACAGAGGCACCGGAGTCGTGCATGGACTAAAACGCCGAGTGGACGCCAACTCTCTTTCTCTCTTTTCCCAGCCCCCCTTTGCCAAACCTGGGATTGTTTTTTCAACTTTTGGTAAGCTTATTCTGAAGGAGCCTGTGGTCTGTAAACGGAAAATAAACCGGATTCTAAAAAGAAAGAGAGGGAGAGAGCAAGAGAGAGAGAGAAAACATTTTAAAAAAGGGGGTAAAAGAAAAGCGCTTGCCATTAAAAGAGCTCGTGCTTCAGATGTGTTTTTTTTTCTTTTTTTCCCCTTTTTTTGTAGAGCACTGTGAAAGTTGAAATGTTAGGGCGTCTGGTCTTTTGCACATCACATTCTCGGTACCTATAAGCCCCCCCACACTGCGTTAAACTTTGGGACATGCAAGTCTTGGTCGCGGAGATCTAACCACGCACATAGTGGTTGTCAGCCCTTATAAAGGTAAGAGCACAATCCATTGTTTTTTGTGTGAATCCTTTCTTCCTGTCGGCTTTTTTCACGAGGCTTCGGCTGGCTTTTTTCCGAATTGAACTTAAAACTACAGCATGCAGCCCTTCGTCTTTTGCAGTGTGTTCATTGTGGACATGAATAACCGAAATAAGTCCGAAATGAAGCACGATCCAGGTGGCCAAGACCCGGCGGAGCATATCCTTCTTTCTTTCTTTCTTTCTTAAAAAACAATCCTGAACTTATTGTTATTTTTAAGCTTTTTTTCTTTTTTTAAATATAATATAGGTGCGTGCACGTTCATGCGGGGAGCTTTGTGAAGCGTTTTTTGGAGTTTCCGAACACTGCTGCAACACAATTTGCGTAATCGTTGCGTTGTGCCTAATCATGCTCCCAATATGGGACTTAAGACGCTGCAGTGATACTTTCAGCACGAACTGGAATACTGATGCTCGTGCACATCATAAAATATCTACCTATCTGTCTATCTGTGCTTATTTTTCTTGTTTGGTCTGCTGCATTCATGTTTTGTCTTGATGTCAAACCCTCCGGATTTTGTTATCGACCAAAAATAGCCCTACTCCCCCCCCCTCCCCCTCCCGCGCCAGCACCCCCTTTTCCTCCATTAGCCCCCCGCCCGTCATCGCCTTCAAATCACTTGTGTTTTTACTACGACCGCTCCACGGTTTCATTCATAAGGTGCTTTTCACTTCACCTGCTACCCTACCCCCCTCCTCCTCCCCTCCTCCTCCTCTTTGTCCGTACACGGCTCTGTGTCGACCTGTCAGACTGCAGGCTACGAATGAATAAAAATATTAGTGATAATAAAAGATAAATAAAGCCTTAAATGTAAGGAAAAAAGCGAAGGGCGGTGGGGGTAGAATAAATAATTCCTCGCCCCTTTTAGACTCGTGTGATTTGCTGCCAAAGCGAGGCTCATTTACTGTGTACAAATTGTTCGCTTTATTCTTGTGTGAAATTACAATAAAGATGGGCGTGGTCAAAGTCCATCCTCTGACAGATGTTATGGCTGAACGTTATGGTGAGAGATAAGATGGCTTGAGAGGAAATTGCTCGGGAAGCATCGCTTCTTTCTTTCGTTCTTTCTTTCTCGCTTGCTTTCTTTTCTTCTTCTTCTTCTTTTTGTGTAATTTAAAATTAAAGCAATCAGCATCACTCATCTCGCCAATTTGATTTACATGATCATCACCCAAAACTGCCCTGGGATTTTATTTCTGTGCACTCCTGAAGGACTTGTAGCCTTAAAAAATTAGTCTCGCACCAATGCAGAAGCAGTGGATATTGTCTACCCCCCCCCGGCTCTCTCACTCACACCCCCTTTGGTCAAAGATTTAAGATTTCTGATCCAAGTCGAAGCAATTGCATGGCAAAACAACAGCATGGGAAGAGAAAAGCCCCAACGCCCACTGGCAGTCCTGTTTTAATCAAGACTCCTCGTGCAGGGGGCTGCGATTTCAAATAAATACTTCCAATATGAAAGTATCCAGTAAATCCCTAATTACATTTGAATTATGGGACACCCCCCTCCTTTTTTTCTTCTTCTTCTGCTGGCGTTTTCCGTAATTTTAACCCAGCAATGTAATGCGCCCAGATCGGTTTCCGCATATTATGACCTATTACTCCTCATTTTATGAGACGCTGAAACCCAAATAGATCACATTACTTATTAGGCTAACCCGACATTCATAAAAATGCTCCTTTAATAAAGGCAGCGACGCGACTTTAATAGCCACATTCCAGGCATCAGTGCCACAAAACCCGCTGATTGCACAAATTACGACCAATCATTAATTTGCCGAACGAAACGAAAGGAAGGGTTCATTGGATGACAGATCGGGGGAATTGTGACAGTTTAAAGAAATTTTTGGCCTTATGTTTTTTTTTAATTCACAGATGCTATCATTGTCTCACCTTTTTTCTTTTCTTTTCTTTTCTACTGCACCATCTTTTTTCCCCTCCGACTGCACTGTTTATAAACGTAAGCATTTTTTTCTATTTCTATTTTCTGGCCGTGGCTTTATTTTTATTTTCTAATTTATTTATGTTTTGTTTTTTGTTTTTTCCATCGAGACGTGGGATTAGATGGTGTGGGCGTGGGCGTGTTGGGTGGAGGAGGAGGGATGAGCGGAGGCGGGTTAGGAGGGGTCTGTGGGGTGGCACGACACACTTTGTATGTATGAAGGTTTTTTTATAGCACTTTTCTGCAATGTACGTCAGCGGATCAGTCCATAAATGGGGCTGCGCGTGTTTGTGTGCGGGCGTGCGCCTGCGTGCGCTCGCGCCTGTGTGCGTGCGTCTCCGCGTGTGTTATCTTTACCGAGAATCTCCCCTCTCTCTCTGCACTCTCAGCTCTGCAGAGTTGGGGTGGGCGTCAAAAACAAACCTGATGGTAGGTTTCTTTGCAAAAAAAAATCCGATGAAATTCTTTCGGATGGGCCTTTTTTAAATTAAACGGGGGAAAAAGAAAAAGAAACGCCCTGGGTGGAAATAAAGATAGCATTATTAACGTGTTAGATTGTTTCGTGCAGCTACTATTTTTTCTCCATCATGTAATTGTTGGTCTTTGTGTGTCGGTTTTTTTCTCCTTTTTTTTCCTTTTTCTTTTTTGTTTTACCCCGACGCCATTAATTCTGCACTTTGTGGAAAAATCCGGATTTAAATGCCATTTTCCCTATATAGACATGGGCGACGTTTGTCCCCCAGTAAAACTCGGATTTCGGATTTTTTTCCACCCCCCGCTTTCATTCATGAAATGCAATCGCTTGATGTCTGATATAAATTATAAATAGGCTATTGATTATTATTTTTCTTTTATTGGGGGCAGGGGGTGTATAGATCTCGAAAATCTGGGCTCCGCAGAGAGGCGGACGTCACGATATATTTAGATTGAAAATTAATCATCTTAATCATTATGAAAATGTAGGCTACATCGCCCGCCGCCACCGTCGCTGTCCCCGCTGCTGCTCTTGCTTTAGTCACCACATCATCGTCATCTTCATCACTGGCACCTTCATCCAATTAAGAGGCTTGTTTAAACAAGTTCTGGCAGGAGGCGAAGCCTTGAACCTTTATTCCGAACATTTAATTACCAGTTATTCGTCATTCAGCAGCGTGACTGTGGTTTCGCAGCGATGAAGCCCACGATGAGTTATTAATACATAGTTGGAATATTCTTACTGTAAAGAGATCTTATATGACGGACCACTGCGGGACAACAAGGATGCATGGCGCGGCGTGACAGGAAATGCTCGACGATTCCGGCAAACCATTCACGTGTGTCTCCCAGCAGTATGTGAACATGCAGCACATCAGTGATTTCAGACAGCTTCCAGAAGCCATCAAAACAGCTTTTTTAAATGCTGTTTCCTGAGTGCCAGTTAGACGGAAAGTGAGCCGGCTTTGGCCCGTAAGGTTGATTTAAAGTATCTAATTTCAGGGCTTTATTCTGAAAATTGCGTTTTTGCTTCCATATGGTGGCAGGAAATCGCTCTATAGCAAATCAAGGCAGGGTTTTAATTTTGTGCATCCTCTCTTGCTTAGCATTTTTTTAAATTCTGCTTTCTTTTTTAAAATAGAAAATATTTTATTATAAGCAGTGAAGCAAACATTAGTGATGGGGGAGGGTGGTGTTGGGGGGGCAGAAGGCAAGAAAACAGACAGAGGCTTCACAGGCTATGGAGTGACTTGCAGTCTGCCACTATAGAAATAATGTATCAGCTGAATGAGGGTGTGGGAAGGAGGAGTCTATAGGCCATATATGATCCTTAGAAACCCAGTCTGCTGTCTGCTTCATGATCACATTAAAGGTTATTGTCATCACAGGAGGGATGACATTAACTCCTCACACCAGCATCTGATTATTTCTTTTTCAAAAAAGGCCCTGCACTGACTTTATCAATTTAGAGTTTTCACTCAGCTCACTCCTCGTCTCCTTTGACGTCACACAACCTCCATCCAAAGAAATGTTTTCTCAGTTGCCTCCTTGAGGAGCAATGCAATTTCCCTTTGATCAAAATACCCTCATCGCCTTGCTTTATCCCCGGTGAAAATGACATTTCGCAAAAGTCATTTCGCCTGTGTTACATGGTCCCCTTCTCTCATGCAAGGAGGCATAATTCTACTTGTTAAGTGAAGCTTTCGGCAGTGTGGACCTGTCAGCATTCGTGTTGCATTTGGCGAGAGAAGCTTTGAAAGGTTATACAAGTGGGTCGTGTTGTCAGGTCTTGTGGTTGTTTCTTCTTCTTCTTCTTCTTCTTCTTCTTCTTCTTCTTCTTCTTCTTCTTCTTCTTCCTGCAGCCCAAACAGCAAAAAGGGTAGTGAGCTGGGAAGATATAAGGAGAGAACTACCCAACTGCTACTTCAAATTACATGTGTTCGCCTGTCATTCTGATCACTAAAGCATATGAAAAGTTGCCATATGACATCAAAAGAAGATTTCATCTTCAGAGATCTCAAACCTCAACAAGATCCAATGATGGTTTAGTGGTTTTCAAATCGACCTCATGGGTGACTTGTATTAGGTCAACAATGTCATGCTTCAGTCTGGTCCTCAACTGGAGGAGTCAAAGGGCTTCTAATACTCCCCACTACCCCTTATTTCCTTGCAGATATTAGGCATTGTGTGGATTTCATTCAGAAATCCAGCCTCAAACACGTGCAAGCCATACAACTTCTCTTGATAAACCACCTTCAGTTGTGCTGTATTTGCAGAAATGAGAGAGACCATGTTGTTGTTTTTTGCTCCTCTAATGAGATGCCAGGTGATGTATTTATGAATTACTTGTTTGGAACAGCCCCCTTGTGCAGTGTGCATTTTTTTTATCCTCTTTGGAGTCATGTCGCTCAGTGATTGCTGATGCAACTCTTTGTCATCTAGAGTTTGCCCTCACCTCCTGTGAGCCTTCGGGGAGGGCTATATCTATCTTGGCATTTCCCTGGGTGTTGGAGGTGGGAGTGACTCATTAAGCAGGTGTGAGCATCCACTCCCATACAGCTACATGCCAAACATGAGCTCTCCAGTTCATAAGCTTGTGCAGGGAAGAATCATTATGGCAATATAGCCAACACATCACAATAAATCTTTGCACTGGACCGAGGCCAAGTCACAAGGATAATGAGCTTCTGTTTCTCCATTATGCTCGCTCTCGTATTCATCAGAGGTGGAATTTCCAAACGTTCATCACCCATTGAAAGGTTGTGCCTCGGCTGACATCTTCACTTGAATTCTGCCTCATCAAAGAAAGTGAACCAAGGGGAGAAACAATATCAAAATCAGCCTCGCGGTCCAAGATTTCCCTGTAATGATGTGGTTTGCTTAGGTTAACATTTTGGGAATAATAACCCATGAAAGCTGGCTACTACACTGCAGAGCACCTTGCAGGGGAGCCATCCATCTGTTGTAGAGATGGCTCACTTTAAAAGCAAGGAGGAGAACTGCTTTCAATAAGTTCTCATCTTTACCTCCCTCCTGTGCCTGTTAGCATCCAACACTGCCATTTTACAGCAGCTAAATTATAAGATGATAATCCTATACTGGATTTGGGTTTATTCTGTGTATATAGCATCAGAATTACAACCAAAATCTAGTTTATATAAGAAAATGAGAGGGTTCTTCATATGTTATATCAGGGATACTAACACAAGATGGATTAAATGATGTGAAAGGGGCACGCAAATGGCTCCTTCACACAAATACTTAAGCTTTCTTTGATATAACTTACCCAGTCTCGACACTATTTCGAGACCCGTAACAGAAAATGCTTATTTTAAATTTTTCCGATGTCTAATTTTACACAAATAGGCCATCTGTAAATGGCACGCAGCGTATCACGACTTGGTGGAGACGCGCTGTTACGCAAAACCTTCTAAAAAAAATGCCACCTCTTTTAGGCTGAGTACAAAAAAAATACGGAAGAAGGAGGCTTCCTTTGCAGGCTACGGCTTATGCAGATAAACAATAATAATACATAATGCACACTGAACGCGCATTAATAGTTCCGCCTCGGGGCTTTTTAAACAGGAGTTTGGATGCGACCAGGCAGTCAGCCAGCGGCAGGTCACATGTTGCAGCGTCATTCTGTAGTAAAGTTACTGTAGTTGCAAAGAGGCTCCTCATTTCAGCTCCAGAGGTCTCTCATCTCCGTGGTGGTGCTGCGGCGGCGGCGTCTCGGCATGCGACAACTTCAGTTTCAGGCGATCTCCAAAGGAGCCGTGCAGCCATGGGAGTGCATTACCTCAGCCATGCAATTTCCACTATCAATAATTTAATCTATTTGCTCCAAAGCTGAAGAGATATCCTGAAGCTTGTCGGGAGAGAGGAGTGTTTTTTTGGGGGGGGGAAGGGGGGTCAGAAATACCGCTTAAGTAATTACTCGGGGAGTTGTCCAAAACATCCCAGATGACACTACCGTCCTGTTGAATGGTCTGTTTTACGACTGGGCACTAAAAGGTATGTGTCTGTTTCTTTCTGATAACTTGTTTTAAGCACTTTCGCCGTGTTTGATGCCGGCCTAGGGGGGACGTGGTGTTGTGGGGTGTTGGGGGGGGGGGGGCGGGGGGGACGGGGGTGAGGGGGGCCAGTGGAGGGGTGCCGCCTGTCAGCCACGGCTCTCAATGTGGAGTGTCACAGCCCGGTTATCCTGCGAACAGACAGCGCAGCAGCCCGAGAGGGGATATGTGTAACCTTATCCTCGTGTTCATTAATAAAAAACGGAGTTATTATGTTGATTGGGTTTCCAGTGGGGAGCACGAGCTCAGCAGATGTAATCTCGAGAAGAAGAAGAAGAAGAAGAAGAAGAAGAAGAAGAAGAAGGGGGGAAAAAGGTCTGTGGTTACATTATTGGAGCAGCCAGTGGTACATATAGGTAGGCATTTCTCCATAGCTAGCAAAGTGGAAGCCGTCCAGTGTGCATCTGTGTGGCTGTTTTTAAGGAAACTTTACGCACATAAATTGCTCAATAAACTCTCTCCTCCGGCTGTTTGTCTGCATTTGTTCGTCCAAGCTTGGACCCTCCTCCTTCTCCACCTCCTCCTCTGTGAGAAAAGAGACAGAAACACTCCAGACAGTTTTTGTGTATGTTGTTTTGTGAGGGAAAAACTGATGACTCAATAAGACTTATAGGAAACGAGACTAAATCGCCTAGCCGGTGGCACAAACTGTGGGTTTTTTTTTTTTTTTTTTTTGGCGGTGGCGTGCTCGTGTTGAAAAAACCCAAAACCTCACAATAATTATGGATTCAAACAAAGTGGGAGGAAACTGGCTCATTTGCGATGTGAAAATATGTGGTTCAAGAAGTAATCTCAGATTAATAGATGGTTTAATGACGAATTTTTTTGATGAACCATTCTTGTAACTAAACAACATCCAACTTAACTTTATAGATGTCTTGTATGACTATGCCCTGGAAAAGACAATGTCTGTCCTATCTATCTATCTATCTATCTATCTATCTATCTATCTATCTATCTATCTATCTATCTATCTATCTATCTATCTATCTATCTATCATGGGGAGGAAGGAAAAACAGGAGAGAAAGGTGGAGAAAGGGTGGAAGAAAACGAGCTCAGACTATTTGACGGTCTCATATGCCATCTAGTGTACAAAGCTGGGCACAGCAGCGCTGTCAGTGTGCAGCCGCAGGTCTGTTGGTCATTCATGGGTTAAAATGAGGATTTCTTCGCTAAGCTTACAAGAACCTAAGCACATCAGTAAGGATTTCACCATGCTGTATGTTGCTGTTGTATCCTCTAAAGTGCCCACTGCTGCACGCAGTGTGGGAGGGAGTTAACAGCTCTTTTGGGTAGCATAAATCACTCAGCAGGTATTTGAATGCTGGGCTTTCTGTGGCAGTGGCTGGGGTTGGCCTGGCGGCCAGGTATAATCCTCAGTGATGCTCATGTATTAGTAAAACGTGCTCTGATGCTGCATCAGATTGAAAACAGATCTCAGTTAGCAAGCTTCCACATGTGTCAGCCATTACTGCAGACAACACAATTAAGTCTAAATGCCTGTTTGTTTTTTTTCTTTAAGTGCTGCATTGTAGTGCACAAGGGGTCCTATGGTAGCCATTTTGATAATATTTGCTGTACTTTTCCTGCTCTCAAACGGAACATTTGGCTTTGTGTGTTATACTTATTGGGCGATTGTGGCTCAAGAGTTGGGAGTTCGCCTTGTAATCGGAAGGTTGCCGGTTCGAGCCCGGCTTGGACAGTCTCGGTCGTTGTGTCCTTGGGCAAGAACTTCACCCGTTGCCTACTGGTGGTGGTCAGAGGGCCCGGTGGCGCCAGTGTCCGGCAGCCTCGCCTCTGTCAGTGCGCCCCAGGGTGGCTGTGGCTACAATGTAGCTTGCCATCACCAGTGTGTGAATGTGTGGGTGGATGACTGGATATGTAAAGCGCTTTGGGGTCCTTAGGGACTAGTAAAGCGCTATATAAATACAGACCATTTACCATTTATTGAGTGTGATAAAACATGTTGCCAGGTAAACCGTATTCTTGAGGAATTTAACAAAGATGGGTGCCTATGAGGGAGCAGAGACAGAGGCAGAGAACAAATGTTGCCATGGGGTCGCACATTTCCATTCAAATGTGGTAACCACACTTCAGATCTCCTCTCTTGATGTGTTTTTTTCCCCATGCAGTGGTTTATAAGATATCACGCCTGCCGTTAGTAAAGATGAACCCATAAAGTGTGCAGACATGTGCGTGGAGGCTGGGAACGTTACTGTAGTGTGTAATAACACTAGCCACGCTAGTCCTTTCATGCTTTAGGGAAACTTTTCAGCGTCTGTCAGAGGAGGCATTTATCACTTTAATCCCCACCTGGCACAAAGAATAACTGCAAGGGTAAGTTACATATCCCTGCCATACAGCCGTGCTCTCAAAGCAGATGAACAGGTGGTCATCTGGAGCTAAACAGAAGACAGAGTCCATACACTCACCTGCTGCTATTGTTCGGGGTGTTTCACGCTCTAGGCGTGCTGTCATGAATAAAGGCATGTTTGAGCAGCAGTTATTGTGGGCTTTATTTTCCCTCGTTCATGTTATTAGCTCAGTTCTCAGCATGTCATGTTTAGATGGCTGTGCATTCTTTAAACAGTCAGCTCAGAGGAAACTGCACCTTTCTCAAGCACAAGTTGCCACAAAGCTGAGAACTAGAAGCTCCAAAGGAGTGTGTGTGTGTGTGTGTGGGGGGTCTTATTCTTCCATATGTAATCCATCCCTTGCTTTATTATTCATTGCTCATTCTGTTAATGCTCGGGCTGCTTTTTTATTAACTGTGAAATCCGCATAAAATCTTCAGACACTGGATGTTGTCACATTTAGCCTCTCACAGATATAAGCCAGAGATCCTCCGCCGGTCCCACAGCAATTAAATGATTCATTGGCTTTATCGCATTTTAACAGGATGTTGATTGAGAGCATAAGCCATATTGATTGTACTGATGGAAACAGGAAATCAGCGAGATAGAAATAAAATCATCTGTTGTTCCCGGTGTGACGATACACGGGGGAATGGCTCTGCAATTGCACACTGTTGAGTGGCATTACCCCCAGCAACCTCTCCCCCCCTCTCCTCCACCCCACCCCTTCTCTCCATTCTCTCCCCTATGGAGACCTGGAAGAGACGTCATCTGTGGTTGTTATGCTGCGAAATGACGCTGGCACTCTCTCCACCCCCTGCTACTGCAATATTACCCCTGTGGTCTGTTACGGAAGATGCAGCACTCTTCGTCTGCACCATTTCCAGCATGAAGTTTGACGCCTAACAGTAATCAGCCCTCTGCCTTCATTTCCCTCTTGTGGAAGTGGAACCATTTGAGCGCGATGCTGATAATAATATCAGCCTAAATGCATCCTACACATAAAGCTCGTGACTGGCCTCGATCCCGTAAAAACCTACACGATTCTCAGTGCTGGGAAGCCTCGCAGATATCATTTCAGATATCATTTCAGATATCATTAACCACAACCTTCACAAAACTGAAGGGTTAATGAGCCATAAATGGAATTTTGTTAACAATATCCGAGTTGACAATTAGCTCTTTATTCTTGGCTTTGTCCCCATTGTAGTTGGTAAGAGGAAAAATACCCACCCCACCACCAGCACCACCATCACCACCTCACTGCAAAACACATACAAGCCAGCCCCTCCCCATGCCCTCCCTCTAACACGCACACTCACACACTCCGGAGGAGCACGTCACTGAGCTCAGGGAATGAGTGGCTCATTAAGAAGAAGGATGTGATATTCTGAATAGAGACTGTGAGACTCCCAGCACGTCTATTTTTAGACGAGATATCTCTATGGCAGTCACCGTGGTGTCGGTTAATTGCAGCCACAGCCCCAGATACCAATTAAGAATGAAACAAATGCTTTTAAGGTGGGGTTTTGCTCCTCCTTATACTGTAAAGGTCCTTGTGTCCATTCTGTGAGTGGAGGCTGGAGCAGAGGCTCGCTCTCGCCGTGTTTTCCTGTGTCAGGCTCGGACATGCAGAGTGCAGTCAAAGCCTCGGCCGGGCTATTTTTAAATTAGCCCCTGTGGTAAGCAAGATCTAGATTTTTTTTTTCTTTTTTTAAAAAATTATGGGTGTTTTAAGATCTATGTCCTTTGGATTCATTGATTTGCTGTGAATCTTAGAGCTTCTCAGAGGTAAGGGACGCACACATGCTCAGGTAATTTTACAATATATATGTACAGTGTTTCAGTTTGGTTTTGCGTGTGCTTTGAGTTGTTCTCCAGAGCCTCGATAGCAGTGCTTTGCACGGCAGGATGTCAAATCATTCTGTCATTCAATTTCCTGTTAATTCATCCCGCAGTGCTCTCGCCTTCCACCTGCCGAAAACAAACAGTGTCCCTCAACAAACCCATAGTTCCCATTCATGACTACAAGGTGTAGTACTGACCAGTTTTTTTTTTGTTTTCTCTTTTTAATAAAGTAATACTGGAGCATCAGTGTTTGCCAGCGCTGACACAAACACACTGACTCTGTTAGGTAGTGCTGTCCACACCGGAGGTTCCCGAAGTGTTAATACCGGTGATTTGTTTGTACGGTAACGTCACGGTCGCGTATTCGTAACGCGGGTTGGGGGGGGCGGGCATAAATCCATCCACAAGAATTCAACAACTACAGGATGAAGTGCAAGAATGAAAATCCTCAATTTCGTTACCCAAAAGCAGGGGGCACCTGTGAGCTTTTAGTACAGCCAAATAAAAAGAAAGAAAGAAAAAGAGGCAATTATTCCAACAGAAAGCCATGATTGGCCTTTTAACAGACCAGTCAAAAAGCTGTTAGGATGTTTCGACATCTATTTGTGTAATCTTATCTTTTGTAATAAGCAGCCGCTTTGATGCTCAGCACAGCTTTTGTGCATTGCTGCCAACAAATAGAGATCTAAGCCAGACCTCACATAGGAACAGAATGATTACAGTTTGCAAACAATTTGAAAACACAGATGACACAGTGCCAATATCAGTTTAATAAAAACATGTTGTGATTATTCCGAAGCTACTGGCTCCAGTTTTTTGGCTTGCAAAACAAAGAGTGGAGGGTGGAAATAGGAGGAGAGGCTTACATGGTGCATTATGGATCAAAAATAAGCTAACTTTGTTGAAGATGCTCTTTGACTGACCATCTCGTTCTCTCGCCCTCCCCCAACCCTCCTCTCTCCTCTTGTTTTCTTTCTGTGTCTCTCTCCCGTCCCTCCAGTTCCACCAGGTTAGAAGAGTGATGACCATCCTGTTCCTTACTATGGTTATTTCATACTTCAGTTGCATGAGAGCTGCGCCCCTGAGAGATGCCCCGGGCATGCGGGGCCATCGGACGGAAGGCTACTTGGGCGCTGCTGCAACGGCCGAAAGAGGCCACGGGACTCCCCAGAGCGGTGGAGGCCCAGGCCAGCGTGGGGAACTGCCCTCGCTCACAGACACGTTTGAGCAAGTGATAGAGGAGTTGCTGGAGGTGGAGGGCGAGGCGGCGCAGCTGGGACAGGGGGCTGATAAGAGCCAGGGAGGTGGTGGCCCATCCTCTGTGGTCACCACGGAGGCCAAGGATGTCGATCTGTACAACTCACGGGTGATGATCAGCAACCAAGTGCCTTTGGAGCCGCCGTTGCTCTTTCTCCTGGAGGAATACAAAAACTATCTGGATGCCGCTAATATGTCCATGAGGGTGCGGCGACACTCCGATCCCTCACGACGTGGAGAGCTCAGTGTGTGTGACAGTATTAGCCAGTGGGTGACAGCTGTGGATAAAAAGACTGCAATAGACATGTCTGGGCAGCAAGTTACCGTCATGGAAAAGGTCCCTGTCCCCAATGGCCAACTGAAGCAATACTTTTATGAGACCAAATGCAACCCCATGGGGTACACAAAGGAGGGCTGCAGAGGAATAGACAAGCGGCATTATAATTCCCAATGCAGGACAACCCAGTCCTACGTGCGAGCGCTTACCATGGATAGCAAAAAGAAGATTGGCTGGCGGTTTATAAGGATAGACACTTCATGTGTATGCACATTGACCATTAAAAGAGGGAGATAGTGTATAAAATGTATAGATTTTATTGAAGAGTTTAAAAAAGAGAATAAAGAGAAAATATCTATTTGTATATATACATAACAGGGTAAATTATTCCGTCAAATGAAAATTTTATGGACTGCATGTAAAAAAAGATGAAGTTTATACAGTAAAAGTGATACTACAGTCTATTTATTGAACATATTCATGACCTTGTAAACAATTAAAAAAAATCTGATCAGTCATTTGCGCCCAGTTTAAATTACTATATCACATTCCTCAAGACATTGTGATTTGTTTACGTTGCCAAGAATTAGAAAAGGAAGGGAAAAAAAATTAACAGGCAAGAAATGAGCGACAAAGAGGGAGACAAAGAGGGAGACAAAGAGGGAGACAGAGAGGGAGACAAGGAGGGAGACAGAGAGGGAGACAAAGAGGGAGACAGAGAGAGAGCGAGGACAGTTCCATCTTCAAAAGCTTGCATGCTGCTTCAATTGTAAATCGATAAATTCTCCACTTACAGAAAAAAAAGGATATGATGCTGACCAAAAAAAATTATTAAAAAAAAACATTCCGTTTACATATTCAGCAGAAAACAATTTCCTCTCAAGTAATTTATCTGTTTACTGTTCTAAACTTCTCAAGGTAATGTTGGAATTACATACTATGTCAAGGTGCTGTTGTCAAAGCTTTGCTGTTTATTTTTTTATCCCCACCAGAGGACAAGATATATATATAAAAAATTATATAAATATATATATATATATATATAAAATTTATTCATTGACATGTTTCTGGGTTAATATTATTCATTTTGTATGTTGTGAAGTTGTTTGCAATATTAAACTGAAATATTTGAAGAAATAAAAATGACTATAGGCAACTGAAAAACAAAATCAATGTCGATAAAGTTTCAACGGTGCATTTTTAGGCAGAGTAAACTTTATTATACGGACAGTCTGCAGGCAAGGAGGGAGGAGGCACATATGCACACATGCATGCGCACAAACCGCCACACGTCCGAAGCATGAAAGAGCAGAAATTCAAATCCTGAGCAACAAGAAGTGATGTTTTAAGAGAAGAAAACGAGACCTTGCTTTGGGTCACTGAAAGATAACGAGTGTTAGAGTACAGAAAGCAGCTCCTGGTGTCATTCAGCTACTTCAGGAAGGAAGAGAAACTGGAGAAGGAGAGAGGAGGTGCCCCTAAACCGCTTCCTGCTCTCCACCAGCACATTTTTTCAAAACACGTTTATGTGCTTTGGATCTTTAGTGTTCATACACAGGTGTTCAGAGCTTTTGCTCCAGCGGCATGTGTGATGTCGCACAATTACGAGACCCTATTAACACAAGAAAAGCGCTTACACGTTCAAGTGCAGACTAGTACAAGTGGGTACACTGCCTGAGCTTGACAGTGATGGATTCAACCACCCATACATTTGTGTACATTAAAAACGTACACCCAGTGTTTTGTTATTAGTGTGCTGTAATCCCAGCTTTAACTCCTCCACAATAGGACAATCACCACTGATTTTTTCTAGCTCTAAAGTCACTGTGATCAGAAGGAGAAGCCGATCTCCGTAACTGGTTTGGCACCTGGGTTAAAAGAATCAACTTTCTCCCTCAGGCAGCTAATAACTCATTGCAATGCATGCCTGCCAAGTCTGGATTCCATAGCTTAAGGTTTTAGTGGGAATACAATAAAATATGTTCAGCGTCTCATCTTCGTTACATGAAACATTTCTAGAACATACTGCAAAAAGATTAAAAACAACAAGAAAATGAATATACAAAATTTCTTCAAAACACCAGCGATCCCTTATGAATGAACACAATCACCTCATTTTACCACGCCTCCATCAGCCTGAAGGTAAGTGCGAAGACAGCCAGATCTGAAGATGTTGAAGGAAGGATGGGCCAGCTTCTTCACTGCCCTGCTTGGACCCTTCACAGAAGCCTGATGATGATGCTGTGAGTTAATATCATAAATAAATAAAAAGATACAGAGGCTTCTGCAACACAAACAATGGGAAGACGAACAATATCATAAATGATCTGGTCTTCCAGAAAAATCCACCTGAATGACACTATCCCGTCCTCAGCACATAGGACAATGAATCAGCCATTCAACATTTTAGATAAGATGATAAGGATGTGTTTTGTTTATCATGAGCATGAGCCTTAGGCTATTATTTTTTACAAAGATCAAAAAAGTAATCTGCCAATTAAACATTTAATAAAAGAGTGCATAAAGGGAGGCAGGGTGAAGCCCATGGTGTTTTTCGGTGTGACCATAAATCAGGCATATGAGTGAATCCTACAGTATAATGTGGTATTACTTTGCTGTTGCTGAGGAAATAAAAACAAGAAGAAAAAATATTTTAGGAAAACAATGGGTCTACCGTGTTAAGAAAAGAACAAAAGCTGCTGCTCACCAAGTCTTTCCGTGTGTCTGCTTTATGCCACGCCCACATTTGTGATGTCACGTTAGGTATTTTTCATCACCTGTCAAAAGATTTGCGTTTCATCACCCACTGGGGTGTGGTCAGGAGTGAATCATGCTCGAAACTTTCAGGATACAGAGAAGCAGTGCAGCTGCAGTTTTCTGCATTCATGGAGGCTCAAAATGTGATGCAGCTCACCAGTAGGGGGTGGCAGAGAGAGCGCTCATATCAGACGTCAACAAAAAGCCAAATAAAGTTTCCTCTGGCTGGCCCTTGTTATGACAGTACATATTAATGTAATCGTCCTTTGAGCTATGTCTGTGGAGGCTGAGCGAAGTTAAATGGAGAGTTCTCCGCCACTTAGGTTGTTAAATGGTAATATGGAATCTAGGTTTGGATTCTAGCCAACGAGACCTTCAGTGGGCTATATGCATGGCACAAAAATATCCCTACTCTCATTGTCAGCATCAGCAGTAAACATAATAAAATCAAACCTCTGTGCTCAAAACTAAATATGGCATTACTAATATCCAACATTTGAAGCTGCTATCTAAGGTGTACGTTTGAACGAATTAAAGAAAGGACATTTGTACACTAAAGCGAGGTGGAATATTGGTAAAGCTATGTGTCTTGTGTATGTATGATATATCATAGTTTTACAGTAAAGTAAAAGTAAAAGGTCTAGTAAAAGGATAGGGTAACAAATACACACGCAGTGACTTTAGAATGTGACTGAACATTCCGAGTTCACAGTTTTACGAGGTTTCCCTGAATGCATCACGACACTGGCAGCTAGCCTAGCCGGCTAACTTGGCTAATCTGATTTATCGTCTCAGTTAAGCGCACATAACGCCAGCCAGGATTACCAAATTTAGTTTTCAGTATTTTTCCTTTTAGCTAACTATCTCCCTAACGCCAAACATCCTCCCATTTCAATAATGGCATCGCTTGGGGAGCCCGTGCGATTGGAAAGAGGTGAAGTTAATTAGCTAGCTAGCTTTAGCTTAAAAATATTTGTTGTGATATGCGGGCGACATAAACCTAGCCTAGCTAGCATTAGCTCATTAAAGCAAGCGGTTTATTTTTTTGTCTGTGTACTCTGTTTTATGGTGGGATAACGATAGAATAGACATCTTGCGGTTAATTCTTGTATGATTATGTATATATAGTCACCCAGCTAAAGCAGCCACAGCTATTACGGCTACATTTTTTTACTTAGTACATTATCCACCTAGCTAATATTAATGACAACAGACAGTGATTAGTCAATCTGGCTGGTTTGTTCACTGTATCTTACCATAAAAGAAAGAAGATTTTACAGTTACGCTGGTTGTATCATTATATTCATTTTTGTGACCTGTCTGTAAATAACAAGTTCTGGGTGTGTGTTGCTGAAATGTGCAGAGGAAGCCCAGATTTGTGTGATAGTTTAAACTTACGGGTTACACAAATACACACGTAAAACTTCACGATTAGAAATATTTAATAAACTTACAAATGCTTATGAATTCGTTGCTATTAAAGTAAGCTGTACATTCACAAAAACAAAATAAACAAAACAAAAACGTGATGCCTGGTGCCTTGAATTTACTTCATGTTACTCTGAGAGTTGCTTTATTATTGCATTATAGCGATTTGTACTAATTGTAGTATGTTCTGGTGACCGTGGGAGTCAAGCTTGTCCGGAGCATATCTATAATCAGAACAAATGTAGTGCAAGTAAATGTGCTCTGACACTGATGTGGGAAACTCTCACTGCCAATGTTAAAAACATGTTCTTGTTGACAGATATCAACCGTGCTATTGAATTGCTTGATAAACTCCAGAGGACAGGGGAAGTGCCTCCCCAGAAGCTGCAGGCACTGCAGAGGGTCCTACAGAGTGAATTCTGTAATGCTGTCAGAGAAGTGAGTCTCTTTCGTCCTGTATCATTCACTTATCAAACACTTAATTAAGAGACATTAGTTCACAGTTTGGAGCTTAACCCTCTGCATCCCAATAAGATTCCCAATAGAATGCTCCAGAATTAAGGAAGAGATGGGAAGTCTGGTAAAAAAAGTTAGTTTAAATTTAATGTCCAGCTATATATGACCATTTAAGATTTGTACATTTATGTTTTCAACATCTCTTTATCATTACTTCTTTGTCCTTCTCTTCTTGATCTGGCACATCCACCCCTCCTCTCTGCTCCCTAACCTCCAACTCATTCTCGTTTTCCTCACCTCACGCCTCATCCCTGCAACTGAAATTGAGACTCTAACATAATAAAACATGCATAAACATACCGTACTTATTCGTTCCCGATAATATAACTAACTAAATAACTAAAAGTGTACTGCTACTTTGGGACAGCTGATAGCCAGACGGCTATAAAAACAAAAGCTAGTGTTATACCAGATAACGTTAAGCTAGAGAGTCTGAACAATCACATTTCCCTTTGATAAACATTTTCACATCATATAAGTCCCCTTTTACAAAGTTTTGCAGCCTCCTCGAAATTGATGTGATCGAATGCTGTAAATAGTGGACTGACAACCGACACTGTTTACAGATGTACGTCAGCCATAGTGTGAAATAAAATGTAAAATATTGCAAAATACTTAAACTGCACAGCCATTTCTTTTTTTCTCCAGATTTATTCAAATTTTTAAAGTATACTGTGTCCAAAAGTGTTTGTGACAGTAATAGAAATATGCTGGCTGCCCACAGCTTTTATGGGTTATAGAAGGTTAACCCTTTGGTTTGGTTTGAATTCTTTGTGTTCGCCGGTTGAAATACTGTCCACTAATATCTCCTCAGGTCTATGAGCATGTGTATGAAACGGTGGACATCAACAGCAGCCCCGAGGTCAGGGCCAATGCCACAGCAAAGGTAGACAGTTGTCAGTTACTGTCTGAACACAAGATTTGGTCTTTTTGTAATCTTAATTTCAGACATTTAATTTCTTAAAATGGGTAATTTTGTGCTTTGACTGCAGTACATACAGACAAGATATCTAAACACCACTTTCCTATTTGTAGGCTACAGTGGCAGCTTTTGCAGCAAGTGAGGGACACTCACATCCACGAGTTGTGGAACTGCCCAAGACAGAAGAAGGGTTGGGTTTCAATATAATGGGCGGAAAGGAGCAAAACTCACCAATTTACATCTCACGGATCATCCCAGGAGGCATCGCTGACCGACATGGAGGCCTGAAAAGAGGGGACCAGCTTCTCTCAGTGAATGGAGTGGTGTGTGTGTAATTCACAGCATGGTTTACATTTTAGACTGAGCCTGAGCAAATTCTCTATTTCAGATTTTTTTTTTTTTTTAAACAGACAGATATTAGAAATAATACATTCTTCAAAAAAACGAATGCACAGCTAGATTTTGTTTCAGGATTTTAAAAAAAAAGAACTGCAATCACCGTGCAAAAATCTGGGTCCCATCTACTTGTAAAATCGTTGTTTATTAACTTGTTACACCATAATTTATTAATGAGAACTTGTAAGGCAGGTCAACAACTCTCCCGCTCGTTAAACTCTTCTAGTAGTGCCTTAAAATTAAGCTTATTAAAGCCTAATAAACAGGGGAGTGCTATAAGAAGATATCAGCTTGTAGCTTGGAGTTGTTGGCAACAGTTTGTCCATCATAGGGACTGACAGGATTCAATCAGTGGAATTTGCATCAACAAAGAAAACCCAAAAAAAAAAATTTATAAAATCCCCTTTGCTCACCTGTGCTTTTTTATTTTCAGACTATCATCATCATGTTGGTTCATTGTTAGCCATAGAGTCTGACAATGATGGCCATTTACCAGCTAAACCTTCTTCAGTAATCCATATTACCAGTGAGCAGCTGTCAGAAAAAACCTCAGAAACCCTGTGGAGTCTTTGGTGTCTTCTTGCCGCAATGGAAAAGCATTTCCTTATGTCAGTGACAGGAAGCTGTCAATTGTGTACGTTTAGAAATAATACTAATACTAATAATAATAATGATGGTAGTAATAGTACATTGATGTAAATAATGAAGGTGTCAGGTTCCTCTTGTAAAGCTCTGGAAATGTTAATGTGTTCAACATGTTTATTATGGCTTAAAGATGGACACAGTGAGTACTGATGGAACACTGAATGTAAACGTGCCATGCTATTGTCTGGAAGTGTAAATCTCAAAGTTCAGCCAATAGCAATCATCCAGTTGACTTTGTTTATTGCTCAGCTTGTTCCCTCATTAAAATTTCCAAATTGCAGGCTGTTTTATGTGAACAGCTGCTAGAGCTTATGTTGGAACTACATTCACTCCAGTACATATAAAACTCTTGTTTACTCCAAAAGTGGCCACATACCTCGTTGCTCTTGTGTTTAATAATTGGACCCAGTAGGTTAATCTGTAGAGATCATGGACTTTTATCTGTTCCTGGTGAAATCGTAAACTCAATTTCTGTTTCTTTTGCCTTCAGAGTGTGGAAGGAGAGCACCATGAGAAAGCTGTGGAACTCCTCAAAGCAGCTCAGGGCACAGTGAAGCTGGTAGTAAGGTACACCCCCAAAGTCCTAGAGGAAATGGAGTCACGCTTTGAGAAAATGAGGTCGGCGAAGCGCCGGCAACAGAACAACTTTCCCAAGTAGGATTTTCCCATGTTGATGCCCAGCTCCCGTGTCTCTCCTTCTTTAGCCTTCTGGCCATCTGTCCTGATCCCTTTCTCATCTCCCCGCCCCTGAAAAAAGAACAAAAAAAGAACATGCTCATGTTTAGTTTTAGCTCATACATACTGTATATTGCGCTTCTGCCCTTTTCTTTAGCATTTTGATATTCAGCATCGTGTATTGTACTAGACACTACAACTCTAGACGAACACTAGGAAGATCACGATTGTCAGTGTGTGTCACACCATGTGCATTATTTTTGAATTGACAATTTGAATGCAACTTCTGAGACAAACTATACAACTGCTTTGACTGAAAAGGTAGTGTTTTTCAGTGATTTATCAGAGCCACTACCAAGTGCCTCAGGGCAAACACATTTATCTTATGTACTGTTTTTTCGTTTCTCTTCTTTCTTTAGCCGTTTAAATTTCTGGAAATTAAACTATTGTGGCAGGAATTAATTCATGCTTTTCACCTGTTTTCTCAGAGACCGTAGCTTTAGAGGTGCTGGCGACAGTCTAAATTAGTTAAAAAGTGATAAGTTGTTAGATTGGTATTATGGCTACCCTACAAAAAGTAGCAAAAGTGCTGGATTATGTTTGAGCGTTCTCTCTAGGCTTACCCTGCAAGACTTTAACATCATGCCACGCTATAAAAAGCTCCAGTAAGTGATGTAATGGGGTCTCAGCAACTTGTGAACTAAATAGCTGACACCACAAAGACTCGCACATTTATCAAAAAAAAATAAACCTTCGAAACTCTGGAGTCAGTATGACATGAGATGAAAGTCAGTTATTTTGTTTTGACATAAATGAGGAATGTACTGTGTCACATTTTTACTCTGCCAGTGACAGAACTTGATAAGAAGTCAGTTATCCAGTGACCATCAGAATAAAATAAAATTAGGCATTTGTAAAATTCAGCTAGTCAGATGCCTACAGTCTCTGTAAGGCCCTGGTCATGCAAGCCTAG